GAGGGTGATTGTGGAGCAATTGGTGGAATGAAGATTGGCAGGGGAAACTGAAGTACTTGTAGAAAACCTGCCCCAGCGCCACTTTGTCCACCACAAATCTCACTTGACCAGACCCGGGATCAAACCCAGGCCACCGTGGTGGGAAGCCATCAACTAACTGCTTGAGCTATGGCGCAGCCTTAATTGACCTAAGTAAGGAGGTTGGTCTAGAAGTAAACATAGAGAAAAGTAAGTATATGTTGCTGTCTCGTCACCAAAATGCACGGCAAAATCACAGAAACAGATGTTTTGAAAATGTGGCACAGTTCAGATATTTGGGAACGATGGTAACAAAACGAATCCTGATTCAGGAGGAAATTAAGGGGAGACTGAACTCGGGGCAATGCTTGCTACCAGTCAGTCCAGAACCTTTTGTCTTTTCGCCTGCTGTACAAAAACATAAATATTAGAATATACAAAACTATAGTTTTGCCCGTGGTTCTGTATGGGTGTGAAACTTTGTCTCTGACATTAAGGGAGAGAACAGGGTGTTGAGGAGAATATTTGGACCGAAGAGGAATTTAATAATAGTAGGTTGGTGTCCCCACCTTATTGTGGTGAGGGGGTTTGAGTATGCCAAGGACCCTGATAGCTATACCAGCAGTAGCGTACCTACTGACGGCCTCCCTTGCTGGACAGGTCAATGGGTAGGCATCAGATGAAGAGAGAGACCAAAAACTGATGCCGTAAGCAGTGTCATCAGTAGCGACTTGAAGCAGAGAGCGAATGATGCTTGAGATGGTTCAAGTTCGTATAGCAACAGGCGTGACCAGAGTGGGTTGAAAGGCTGCTGTACTGAGATGTGGAAAGCAAATGGAAAAACTACCACATTATCACTTTTCCTGGATAGTCTCTTTCCAGAAACAGAGATACCATGTATGCGAGATGTTTCCTCTGGAGACAAAACAATCCGGAGGTAAACTACTCCCCCAATTGGATCTCCGGGGGGGAGTGTTTCTAGAGGAAATGTCATACAGGCGTTACAACAAGAAAAAGTGCGAAGATCAGAAGGAACATCATGGCTACAAGATTGGAACATGGAATGTCAGGACCTTGAATCAAGAAGGGAAATGGGAGAATTTGAAAACTGAAATGCAGAAGAATGAAGTGTCTGTTCTAGGTGTCAGCGAAGTGCGATGGAAAGGACAAGGTGAAATAAAAAGTGGTGATTATACAGTGTATTATTCCGGAGGTGAACAGGCTGAAAGAGGTGTGGCAATAGTGGTGCATAAAAGTGTAGTGAGGAGTGTTGTTAAGAAGATTGTTTGTAATGACAGAATTATTGCTCTGAAGTTAAAGGCGGAACC